TGCAAGACCTGGTTTATGCCAGGAACTATGCAGGGCACCCATTATGGCTGCCAGGGCAGATAGTTTCTGTTACAGGACCCAGGTCTTACAGAGTCCTCCTAGAAGATGGTCGAGTCTGGAGAAGACACGTGGACCAACTTAGGAGGTGCTGGACCAAGCCTGCCACCGAAATCCCGGTCAACCAGCCGCCGAACGACCCGGTCTACCCGCCGCCTGTAGCAGCCAACCCGCTGAAGGACCCGGTCTACCAGCCGCCCGACGACCCAGCCGACCGACCACCGCGAGGAGACTCACCCGAGCAGCAGCCCGATAGCCAGTCCAGGATGGCCGACGACCCTCCGCAGACTCCTGACACCGCCCGGGAAGAACAGGACTGGGCAGCAGCCGACAAGCCTCAGGAACCGCGAAGATCAGGCCGCGAGCGAAAGCCGCCATCCTGGCTACGAGACTATGCATGCTCGCGGCCAGGGGGAAGGAGTGCTATGTTTAAGGACTAGGCAGCAGTTCTCCTTCTGGTCCGCCACCTGCGTGGGAGCGCCGATCGCTCCCATTGGCTGATGCCGTTTGACAGCCGGCTATAAAAGGGAGCTGTCAAACGGCATCAGCTGTCGCCGCCAGCTGGTTGTCAGATTGCCTTGGCAGCTGCGGCGACGCTTTATTCGATGGAATAAAGATTGTTAGCTTAGACCTGGCTCCGTCTCTCTCTGTAACCACCGCTCTACAACAAAGGTCATCATACAGGTGCTGCCACCTGCTGTGAGATACAGACATACAAGCACACACAGATCTCAGGCTTTCAGAAGAAAAATAAGCAGCATGTGCTTCTCACACATGCAAAATCACAGATGTTTTCACCCATTCTTGGTTTTCTTGAGCATTTACAGCAGGAAGAGTTTAATGAGCACAGTAGTATTTAAAGGGGAGGGAAGGCTATTGTCATGCAATAATTAGGCCTTTGTGTAACAGCTGACATTTTACATGTTTACATCTCAGTTTGTCTAGTGCTGCTAAAATCAGCCACCCAATCTGAACAATGCAATATGTGTCACTGGCTTAGGCAAAGTACAAACTGGTAAAAAACACAGGGCTTCAATTCGGCAGCCAATAAATCAAGAGATTCACTACTGATAGACAAATCTTTATCAAAAGATTAAGCATTGTGCGATCCTATCACTTGTTGACAAAATGTAGGCTGACAGACTTGATTTGAATCCTGGGTTATGGTAGGATCACAGAACAGGGAAAACATTTTGGAGTAACACTTTAAGATAATTTTCTCATTAAACTAGAAGGCATTGCTAGGTTATTCTCTCTGCTTGTTGATTTTTGTCTTAACAAGATACCAGCTACTGGCTAAAGCCTATGTATGTCCTCTGAGAAGTAAATTTAATTAAAGAGCTAAAAAGACATAGTCGTGGTATTTTTAAACTAGGCTACAATTTTATGCATATTTACCTGAGCTGAAATCAGTGCAGATTGTTTCCCAGATACACACCTAGGATTGGATGTTATGATTGCAAATAGAAATACTTAAAAGATTCAGATCAAAGCAGTAATTTAACTGTTGCAGGAAATTACGAGACTCAGACCTTGGAATCCAAAAATAATTTGGTTTTATTTGCGCAAACATGTTCAGAGTATTTTAGTGAAAGTCACCTCTGAACAAATTTCTTATAGAACAGCACATGCCTATATACTTCTTCAGAAGGGGCAACACACAGAAATATAACTTGTCAGTCATTCATTGGTTACTTGAAACACAACTTTCCCCCTCCCCTGTTGCTAGGCTAGGATGGCCTGGATGTCACAAACCCATCTTGCTAAACTCCCTAGCTTGTGGTTTTGTTACAAGCTACACTAGGTTTCTTGGCAAATGTGACCAATAGATGATCCTTGTGGTTTGGCTTTTCACACTTCTTTGTTCTTTCTCTTGCTAATACCACATATTTCACTATCTATAAAACTTGTATCATTATTTCTCTAAAATTAATATATTTTTATGTCCTGCCTTATTCACCCCTTTGAGACTTTATTTAACAATTAAGTCTCACTTTTATGATGTCTTAGATTAGCCCTTGCGCATATGTTAGGCATGACAAGATTAATGCTTTTGCAAAAGTAGGCAATTGCAAATCCTTCTCAGATGAGTCGAAGTTGGAAAAACGAAGAACTTTCTTTAAACAATACAATTTATGCACTTCACTACTAGTCACATTTTTAATTAGAACTTCGCTCAGTCCAGTCCCATTGAGCAAAACACAATAGCCACCCACAATCCAAATTTGTTGGATTCCATTAACCTCCCATATTTGATTCCACGCACACTTACGCAAAACACACAAATGTCTTGTTGAACACATTTTAGACAATTTCTTCCTCCCTTCTTCCTGTTGCACGGCGTTAAGGTTCTTTCGACACCTAGCTGACTTGCAGTAAGTTTTATATATACAAAACTTTACATACATACATACATACATACATACATACATACATACATACATACATACATA